TCAATGAGAAGCACAAGTTCCTAGTCTCTCAGAACCTCTGAAGAAACTCAGTGCCCAATTCGTTAGTCCTCTGTCTCATGGTTGTCAAATTGGTTATCTTCTTTTCCCAAGTCCCAGTGTAGAAATATGTATGAAACTTCTTCTCTAAATCAGCCCAATTGGCAATGGAGTTGACTGGTAGTGACGAAAACTAAGTGAAGGCTGGCCCTGACAGGGATAAGGAGAAGAAACAAACTCGATGGGCATCCTCAACTGATGCTTCACCCAATTGTGTAAGATACCGACTGACATGCTCTATCGTGCTCGTACTGTCTTGACCAGTGAACTTGGCAAACTCTGGGAGCCTATAATTTGTAGGAAGAGCGACCAAATCATACCACTTTGGATATGGGCATTTATACAAAAAGGTCAGCCCTTTTGGCTTCAGGCCGAACTGATTCTTCATCATCTCGGTCACCTTCAGCAGCAACTCGTCAGCTTGCAGATTTGGATTTCTCGATACTTGCTGACCTATCTGTGGATTGAAATCCCGCGTGCCCTGATATCATGGATTTGGCATCATGTGGAGAGTGTTATAATCTGTGCTATAGTGATATCCTTGTGGAATCTCAATCTGCTGGGTCTTCTGCTAGCTTGCTGCTTGAAGTCTCTGATTGTATATATAAGGGTCTATATCTCTACGGATCCTTTGAATCGATGGTGCTATTTTTTGAGCCGACGATGGTATGTGGCCTGATATGCCAAAATTGATCATCTGGTTTTGACTCTGCCCCACCGGCTGTTGCACATGCTGCATTGATGGTCCAGGATTGTACTGTATCTGATTCGTAGTAGTACCTGGAGTTTGTTCAGATGAACCTTAAAGTGCCTGGACGTCACCATTACCAGCTGGTGCTGCTTCTTGATGGCTGGTGCCGACTTGATTAGTCCCTTGGGTCAACGGATCTGGAATGTTGTAACAAGTCGATCCAACCTGACTAACTGAAATTCCATGAATCACCTCTTTCATGGCGTTGTGAAATGCATCAACAAAAGCTTCATTGCGGCTTGATAGGGCATCACGAACAGATTTGTCTATGGCTTCCGCAAAGAAACGCCTGTCTTCAACTTCAACTGTATCTATCTATCCATGTAGTAGAACTCTTGGTAGTGGAAATTTCTGAATAACTGTGCTGTCACGTGTTTTAGTGTAGGACAACAAACACTTCTTTTGAAATTCTTCTGTAGCTTTGTTGATGGTATCCTTATCTTCATCAGGTAGGTCCTCATAATATACCATAAGGATGTTGTCGTTGTTGTGAACCGCCATGACGATTGTGGGGTCCCACCAGGCGTGCCAGAAATGTGTGTCGACATAGAATTTCGTCCCGTGTCGAGGACACACGCAGCAAGCCGGAAGGGTTCGCTCGATGGAGCAGATCCACCTAGCTTCAGCGTAGGGATGGTCGATCCTGCGCTAACCTCCCGAGGCGTGCCAGTCAATTTGACCCTACAATTGACAAGGAGAGAAAGTTCATCAGTAATTAAGGGTGGAACTTGCTGGTGTTGCCAGACAGTCCCGAGTGTACGTCTATGAGAGCCGATATGAAAGGAAATCGGCTAAATAGCCGATTCCAGTATATTCATGAGAATAAGTCAGTTAAAGCTCATGGGGTTGTATAAGAAGAATCGGTTGTCATTCAGGATAAATATCATTTAAACAAATATTAATCAATGGCAATAAGATATCAATGATGAACGATCCATACTGAGCAAATGATTACGAGTAACCGAACTCCTTTTTATATAAAGAAATAATTCAACATCACTTAACCATTTAATAAAGATAAATCTAATGAACATGCTAGATCTCATCTATCACCATGACCAGTGAGGCATGAGGCAGAATCATGCAGGCCGTAGAAACAACAATAGACTCGATGACCCTAACTCATTACTAATATCAATGGGGCATGAGGCAGAATCATGCAGGCCGTCATACAATAATAAGATCATGGGGCTAACATATCTTTCAACTTATCTCTACTTCAACAGTCTCATGATGTGAACTGCTCGTGAAAGCGCTCGATATCGGCTAAATAGCCGATTCAGGCATAGCGCACAGTTAAAGTCATGTCTTCTCAGGAACGGGTCTACCAACCAACGATCCCCACTCCACGGTGCCAACAGTGGGGTGACAGGCAGAATCCCATAGGCCATGATGACGGGCCATGAAATGGTTCTCGCTAACCAATAGATCTACTCCAGATCGAACATGCCTTAACCGCACGCTATGCATGATTAAGATTGATGCAAAACAGCCGATAAAAACATAACTCATCGCTTAAGATGTAGATTAGATCAGTTTTAGATTAGCAAACGATGAGTTAAACAAGATATAAGGCCGATCCAGGTCAATCTCAATCGGGCAGAGTGATATTGCTGTAAGTAGATAAACAATGAAAGCAATAAGCAATATCGGTAACTTAATGAATCTACCAAAGACTGCCACTCTAAGATAGAGCCGATAACTTGACCTTGATCCAATTCAAGCTGTGGGGTGTGAGGCAGAATCACACAGGTCATACTTGAATTAGGCAAGAGTCGATAACTAGCTTATACCAGAACCGCAGTGGGGGTCGACCGGATCGATGCAGCCATACGAACAGAGGTATAAACCATGACGGTACTTACAACAAGCAGTGGGGGTCGACCGGATCGATGCAGCCATACGAACAGAGGTATTAACCATGACGGTACTTACAACAAGCAGTGGAGGTCGACCGGATCGATGCAGCCGTACTTGCCGAAGAACTTGCCGAGATCTACTCTACTCCTACTCCTAAGGGGTGGCCAGAGCCAAAAAAATAATTGACTTGTATTTGATTGATTGTGTGTTTTTTACAATAGTTGGGGCTTGGTATTTATACCCGGGACTTGTGCACGACTCCTATCTAAGCACGACTCATCACAAAATTTGACTCTAAAGAAAACATTCCTAATTTAAGATAACTTGGACTCTAATCTTTCCCTTTTTTAGAGTCCAATGCGTTTTCGTCCTGGCGTCGAGCGTAGCCTCTGTCGTCATCTGCTAGCGCTGTCCGAAGAAAGCCGATTCCTAGATTTTGCATCTGAATCAGCTGTTTCTGATCCGCCTGCAACTGATCCCTTGATGATACGATCCTGGAGCTTCTAGGCCCCTGTGACTCTCCTCCCAAATTTTGGTGTAAACAATATATATATATATAGACGTACTGTTCTGTAGCTGGCCGTAGAATAAGTTATTCTGTGTCCACTTTGAGTTACGATAATTACTATACTAATTTACGAGATTATGGTAACTCCCTCATAAGTGATTTACTATAGCATTATGGTAAGTATCATCTTGAATTATAGTAACCCATGTATCGTAAATGTGTATTGTCATTATCGTAAATTGGTACAAACATTATCGTAAATCAAGGTGGTCATAGAATAAGTTATTCTATATACTATAGCCATCTTGATTTACGATAATGTTTATACCAATTTACGATAACATGAATATGCATTTACGATACTCATGTTACTACAACTCACGGTGATATTTACGATAATATTATAGTAAATCACTTAGTAAGGAATTACTGTAATATCGTAAATTAGCATGGTAATTATCGTAACTCAAAGTGGCCACAGAATAAGTTAACAGTAGTTCTATATATATATATATATATATATATATATATATATATATATATATATATATATATATATATATATATATATATATATATATATGAATTTGGCCTGCATATTATTTTATTATATCAAATCTAGTAAAAATAGATAAGCTAATAGAAGAAAAACCAATAGAATATTTGCTCACATTATAGAAGATAGGTGCTGAAACAAATAGCATATGTTGATGACTTTACGTTAATAGATTAAAATTAAAAGTATTGCAAATAATAGAGGTGATGTGGACATTTTTTTGTAATTAATAAGGGATGACATGTGCTCTGTTCGCTTGGCTGATAAGCCATGGCTGAAAGTACCGTTGACTGATTTATTGTGAGAGAAAATATTGTTCGTTGGCTGAAAAAGTACGGCTTATAAGCCAAGCGAACAGGACGATGGATAGCTTGCATGAAAAAATTGCAGGTTAGTGGGACATTTAGTGGAAAATGATGTAAATATCTTGCATGGAGAGAGAAACAATTTAGTGGGGTTTAACTTTATAAGAGTATAAGATTGAACTTATTAGATTGGTGCTAGACCTTGTTCTTTGTTAGTGACTTAAAATTGTGGTGTACTTTTCTGTCATAGTCACACTTAATTACCTTTAATTGTTATACCTATAAATCCTATAGTTTATACCCACGGGAGTACACTGCTGTTAGTAATTACTAGAGTATTCAGTGAGAGGAACAATGGGAGTAACATTAATAAATTTTTTTCTTGACACGTGAATACGGAACATTTTTTTGTGAAGCATATGTCCGGTAAAATGAGGATAGGCATGTATCCACAATTGTGTCCTAGTGGAAAAATATTTTTTTATCTACCCAGCTATGTTGTGCCATCAAATATCTCTTGCACTCTTCCTTGTTTTGAAGCAGACACATTTCCATGTTGGCAGCCACACGGGCTACAAAATGAGCCCCCCTCAAATCATCGTTCTCACACGAACCGAGCGTAAACAACAACATTCTTTTCCTACATCACGAGGGTTTCCTTTCTGTGTCATGCATGGCTAGCCATGCATACTCAAGATCCAAAATGTGCCGTGAACAAGAGCATATTATGTAATTAAGAATTAGGTCTTTCTAATATTTTCTCCATCTTCTTTGTGTTTTTTATTATTCCCTACTAAATATCTAGTTCGTCCTCACAGGACAGTGTTGTCAGTGTTACTAAATATCTAGTTCGTCCTCAGAGACCAGTGTTGTCAGTGTTGTCCTCACAGGAAAAGAGAGTTTGCGCTTTTGTTGCATTGCATCCCGGCCGCCGGCCAGGGGTTCCGATCCTCGCCTAGCGCCATGCCTCGTAATCAAGGGAAGCTCAAGATCCGAAGGATCGTCCAGAACGCCGCGCGGAACGCGACGTTCCGGAAGCGCCGCGCCACGCTGCTGGAGAAGGCCAAGGAGCTCTCCATCCTCTGCAAAATCCCTGTGGCCATGGTAGTGTACGGCCCCGTTAACGCCCAGCCGGCGTTGTGGCCGGAGGAGCTTGACGTGGCCAAGAAGATCACGCAGAAGTATTTAGAGCTGCCTGAGGCCTCCAAGGAGACGCACAGGCTGGACAACGAGGGCTTCCTGCGCCAGGCCTTGAAGAAGATGGGGAAACGGTTCGAGAGCTACAAGGCCACCGCCCGCCAGCTCGAGGTCAACCTCATCCTCAACGACATCAGCCTCGGCCGCAGCAGCAACCTCGACGACCTGGCCCCCGAGCTCGCCGCCGCCGTCAGGTCGGAGGTGGACATGCTCAGGAGCTCCGTCTATGAGCGCCTGAACAGGCTCACCTCGGCCGCAACGGTGGTCGTTCCGCCGCCGCTCGCACTGGAAGAAGCTGTGGCGGCGGTGCTTGTGTCGTCACAGCAGGAGCCACTGATGGTGGCGCCACTTGCTATGGCGCCACCGATGGTGGCGAACGCGCCACTGTTTGTGCAGCAGCCGCCGCCGCTGGAACCCGAGCTGCTGCAACTGCCACCGCATGATCCCCTGATGGCACCGTCGCAGGACCCACTGATGGTGCCACTGTTTTCGATGGCGCCGCCAATGGTACCTGACGTGCCAGTGTTGTCAAGAAGGTGTTGGAGAAGCATGACGTGCGGTTAAGAAGGTGTTGGAGAAGCGCATGGAGGAAGCTACCGACACAATCAACAACAACCTCGTCGTGTCTTAATTATGAGTTTTGTTACATCATTTTGATTGGTTCCTATATGCATTCTGAATGCATGTGTCACACACGGGCATCTTATTTGTTGGTCGTACACTTACACTCGTATACAAAATGAACAGGTCGATATTTTCTAGATAATTGAACTTAGGAAAAAGATCATTTTTGGCCCTCCAACTATGGCAGCAGTTTGTTTTTAGCCCTCCAACTTGAAAACCAGACACCCGCAGTCCCTTAACTCTCAAAACCGTTTAAAATTGACCCTCACGCCCATTCAACCACGGTATCCGCACAGTAAACCCGCCACGACCCCGCCTGTCAGGCCTTTCCCTCTCACCACCAGGTTGGGACCACCTGTCATCCCCCTCCCTCTCTTCGCGGGCCCCGTCTGTTAGGCCTTTCCCCAACCTCCCCGCCACACGTCGTTGCCACCACGGCGGCCAGCACAGGCACGTGAGCTCTCCAGTGCTCCTAGTGGATGTAGTTCATGTCGGCAAAAATCTCTGGCTGCCCAAAATATCTACACTAGCACCGCCTTACTTGCAGCTATAAAAGGCCGGCGAGGCCACCGTGGCTCTCGACACCTCCGTCGACGGACACAGGAAGCTTGAGAACGAGCTCTGCTTCTCTTCGGCAGCTTGCTCCAGCGCAGCCCTTGCCCTCACCGTGCGCGGACCCAACCTCACCTGCGAAACTCCAAGCTCGAGCTCGAGCTCGCACACGCACGGCAAGGACCCGCCGAAGGCAAGCGCCACCGCGCCGCAGGACACCGGAGCCACGCTTACCAAAGCTGCCCTCGCCCAGCCCACCGGGGGCCATCCTTGACTGGCGTCGCCGGAGCGCCGGCACCTCACGCTGCTAAGAAGCCCACGCCGCCAGAGGAACACCGCCTCCGTTGCCGCGGACTGCGCGTGTGGCCGCCGCCTCTGCAACTCCCTGTACGGCTACGCGCTCACGCGTGCGGGTGCGTGCGCTGGGGAGTGGCGCAGGGGCGCCGTGGCGACAGAGCCCAACAGCACCCGGAGCTCGGAGGCCGCCAGCTCGGCCTAATGGAGCTCTGATGGCCGGTTCAGGCGGGCCAGCTTGCCGACAGCGTCAGGCCGCGGCGGCCAAGTGACGGTTGTACGCCGGTGCGGGCTCCACACGTCAGGCCGGGAGGAGCAGCATGACCGCCGCGTCGCACCCGTGTCCTCTCTCTCGCCCGCATTGCCTCGCCCTGCTCGCGTTCGCGCTCGCCGCGGAGAAACCGAGCTGCAGCGACGCCGAGGAGCTCCGCCGAGCTTGTGCGCCACCGCAGCCGCGCCATTGCCTGAGCCAGCACGCCAGTAGCTCCGCCTTGCTTCGCGCCACCATCTCCACCCACTCGTAGTGTCGATCGAGCCTAGGTGAGGCCCTATTGGCCACTTCCGCCGCCGCCCGCCATGACCGGGGCTCGCCGGACTTCGAGCTTCCCATGGCCGGCTATCACCGGAGCTCTCTCACTCCCTTCTCTTCCTTCCCTCGTCTTCCCTGCGAACCCTAGAAGCTCGTACCGAGCTTAGCCGCGCCTGCCATGGTCGGATTTCGCTGGAGCGCCGTCGGGCCCTCGTCGCCGTCCGCCATGCACGCCGCCGCTCGATGAAGTATACCGGCCATCTCCCTCCCCTGCCTCTGTTTCGCTGCGCCCTCTTACATCTGCCTCCGCCGCCTCCTCTCCTCCCTCTTCTTCCTCCTCCTCTCCTCTGCTCTCTGCGGCGAGCAGCTAGCAGGGCACCGCGGCGGCGCAGGCGAGTGGCGAGCGGGGTGTCGGCGCCGCGTGGGCGAGCAGCGAGCAGGGCACCGCGGCGGTGCAGGCAAGCGGCGAGCAGGACGCGGGGCCCACGCGGGCGAGCAGCGAGGCCTCCTCTGCTCCCTCTTCTTCCTCCTCCTCTCCTATGCTCTCTGCGCAAGCAGCGAGCAAGGCACCGCCTGGCGCAAGAGTAGTGGCGAAGGGTGTCGAGCGCCTGCTGTGCAAGTAGTAGGGCACCGCGCGGCGCCAGCAGCAAGAAGTAGCGGCGAAGAGGATGCGTGGCCCACGGGCGAAAGCAATGAGCCATGGCGCGAGCAGCAGGAGCAACAGCCATGGCGCGAGTAGCAGCAGCAGCCATGGCTAGCGCTGCCTGTGCTGGCCGCCGTGGTGGCAACGACATGTGGCGGGGAGGTTGGGGAAAGGCCTGATAGGCGAGGCCCGCGAAGTGAGGGAGGGGATGATAGGTGGTCCCAACCTGGCGGTGAGAGGGAAAGGCCTGACAGGCGGGGTCGTGGCGGGTTTACTGTGCGAATACCGCAGTCGAATGAGCGCGAGGGCCAATTTTAAACGGTTTTGAGAGTTAAGGGACTGTGGATGTCTGGTTTTCAAGTTGGAGGGCTAAAACCAAACTGCTGCCATAGTTGGAGGGCCAAAAACGGACTTTTTCCTTGAACTTATTAGATTGGTGCTAGACCATATTGTGTGAGAGTAAGTTCATAACTTTTTCTTGACGACTCATCGTGTCATGAACATTTATTTGTGTAGCACATGTCCTAGTAAAATGAAGTTAGGCACGTATCCACAGGTGTATCTTAGTAGGAAAAAATATTTTTTGATTTGCCCAACTATGTTGTGTCATCAGATCGATATCTTTGTCCTTCTATGTTTATACATTGTCCCTCTTCTGTATTTGGAACCAAACACAATTTCCTGTAGGTCAGCCACACACCCATACGGGCTATAAAATGAGCATCTCTCCATCCCCATTCTCACACCAACCAAGAGAGAACACCTTATTTCCTCTCCTTCTCTAGCATTCCGAGAGTTGTTCTGTTGTAGCAAGGCTCACCGGAGTGTCAAGATCCCATGGATCGCCAACAAGAACGCGTGGTTGGTGGTGTCCCTAAGGGGCCACGCCAAGGTGCTCCAGAAGGCCGAGGAGCTCTCTAGCCCACTATGATGTCTCTGTCCCCATGGTGACTCACAATGCTGGTGAGGTCGAGCCAACCATCTAGCCGGCGCTGTCAGAGGCCAAAGTCGTCCTGGAGAGGTACGCAGCCAACCCCTCGAAGAACAAGATGGATCATGAGAAATGCTACGCCGATGTATCGTGGAGCTGAAGATGCAAGTCAAACACCCTATGGTGGAGGGAAGGGGAGATGGGGCTGAGAGGGGCCCGGCACCTGACAACACCCCTAACACGATACCACAGCCAATCTGTAGCGACTACAAATCGGTCGCTAAAAGTAGTTATAGCGACTGATGATGTAAAAGTCGCAGAAAGTGGCATCGCTATAAGTCTATAGCGACCTACAGGGTTTACGAGGGCATGAACTCGCTCACCTCGGCCGCAGCGGCGGTCGTTCCGCCACCGCTCGCACTGGAAGAAGCTGCGGCGGTGGTGCTTGTGTTGTCACAGCAGGAGCCACTGATGGTGGCGCCGCCAATGGTGGCGAACGCGCCGCTGGTGTAGCAGCCGCGGTGCTGGAACCCGAGCTGCAGCTGGTGCCACCGCAAGAGCCCCTGATGGCACCGTCGCAGGAGCCACTGATGGATCCACCGTTTGCGATGGTGCCACCAATGGTAGCTGACGTGCCGGTGTTGTCAAGAAGGTGTTGGAGAAGCATGATGTGCGGTCAAGAAGGTGTTGGAGAAGCGCATGGAGGAAGCTACGGACACAATCAACAACTACCTCATCGTGTGTTAATTATGAGTTCTATTACTTCATTTGATTGTTGCCTATATGCATTTTGAATGCATGTGTCACACATGCGCGCATATTATTTGTGGGTTACACTTACACTCTGTACACAAAATGAACAAGGTTGATATTTTCTAGATAATTGAACTTATTAGGACCTGTTCGGATTGTGGGAAAAAAATTATTGTTCCTAAGTTTTTCCTATGAAATTGAACTGAATCCTGTGAAATTCCTACGAGATTGCTATGAAATTCCTGCATTCCAAACAGGCTCTTAGAGTGGTGCTAGACCATATTCTGTGAGAGCAAGTTTCATAACTTTTTTCTTGACGACTCATCGTATCATGAACTTATTTGTGTAGCACATGTCCTAGTAAAATTAAGTTAGGAACCTACCACAGGTGTATCTTAGTAGGAAAAAATATTTTTCATTTGCCCAACTATGTTGTGTCATCATATCGATATCTTTGTCCCTCTTCTATGTTTAGACTTTGTCCCTCTTCCGTGTTTGGAACCAAACAAAATTACCTGTAGGTCAGCCACACACCCACACGGGCTATAAAATGAGCCTCACTCCATCGCCATTCTCACAGAGAACACCTTATTTCCTCTCCTTCCCTAGCATTCCGAGAGTTGCTCTGTTGTAGCAAGGCTCACCGGAGCATCAAGATCCCATGGATCGCCAACAAGAACGCGTGATTGGTGGTGCTGCTGAGGGACCACGCCACGGTGCTCCAGAAGGGCGAGGAGCTCCCACTATGATGTCTCCGTCCCCATGGTTACCCACAATGCTGGTGAGGTTGAGCCGACCATTTAGCCGGCGACGCCAGAGGCCAAAGTTGTCCTGGAGAGGTACGCAGCTAACCCCTCGAAGAACACGATGGATCATGGAAATGATACGCCAATGTATCGTGGAGCTCAAGATGCAAGTCAAACACCTAGTGGTGGGAGCTGAGAGGGTCCCGGCACCTGCCAACACTCCTAAGTCTACCACATTACTCTTCTTCAATTAGCTACTTAATAATACAATTAGCTAGTTAATGATATTACTTGTCGTTTGATCTCTTGTCCTCCCTCTATATTAATCTCTAATAACATATTATGTAATTAAGAATTAGGTCTTTCTAATATTTTCTCCATCCTTTTTGTGCTTTTTATTATTTCCGACTAAATCTCTAGTTCGTCCTCACAGGCTAGTGTTGTCAGTGTGCGTCTCTGGCCAACGGTGCCGGAGACCATGGTCGTGCTGCA